CTAAATCAGCCATTAAAAAAAGGAATCTTTTGCAGTTGGAAGGCCATTTAAGTCAAAAACTAACAAATCATGCAAATATCCACACACCCACTGTTTTAAATTAATCACAAATTTGAAATATTTATATTTTAGTATATAAATATCCTAATTTTGACTACTGGGCAAATATTACATTACCGTCCCACAGCAAATACTGTTTGGCATAATTTGATACAAAGGCAGACCAAAAATTGTCAGAAAAAAATGCAATGTATTCAAAATCATAATATAAAATCATAATATTTTAAAGTTATTACTGAACCGAGAGATGAAATTTTTGCAGAGGATTACATTGAACTGCTTCAGAAAAACTTTTTGTAAACTAGCTTTAGCGAACCTCCTGGAAAGTCTTCAGAAGCTCCTCACCAAAACCCGCATCATCTTCCTCGCGATCACCGAGAAAGGGAATATGCGACAGCGAACGTTCATCCTCACACTGAAGCACAAACATAACTTAGTAAGAAATAACACAGTCAAAAAAAAATCTGCTCCACTGATTTCTCAAAGCACGAAAAATGTTCATAAACAGACAAAAAAAAAAGAAAAAAAAACAAAAATATTTAAAAAAAAAAATAAATATAACAAGAAATAGCACAAATGAAATTTTTTGTTCCAATGGTTTTTTTTTTTAAAGCACGAAAAGTGTTCACAAATATGAAGAAAAAGAAAAAAAGAAAACCGAAAAGAGTTCAAAAATTTGTCAAAAAAGCCCCAGAATATGCAAAAAACAAACCAAAACATTGCATTCTGTGAGGGTCCAGTACTGCATTCGTGGTGTACTCATCGCATGTTCGATGCAACATGAGGGGCATTTCTTGATGATCGCACCTTGCGCCGAGCGTACCACGCAATATGTTGGCTGTTCCGGCACCACCTGCGTCTTGTCCGGTTCCACCACTGTGCCTCCAGCCTAAAAGTGAAAATTTTACAACAAATAAGACAGCTCAACGAGAATCTTTACAAAAAATAAGGCAGCAAAAAATTGTTCCGGGAGGAAATTGCTTGATTTTTCGTCAAATTCATTGTTTTCTATTGGAACCATGAATTAAGAGCGTAAAAAGAAGAGCTTACCGTCCAAATTTTGCGCGGTTCCTCATCCAGCATTTTCTCGTAGAATTGCTGAAATCAGAAAAATCACAGATTACCAAGAAGCATTTGTCTGGAACGGCTCAGATTTTTTTACCAGCGAAAGCTCAAGGCTCTTCTCTCTCCCTGTTGCACTATGCAATGTTTTATAAATTTTTCAAAAAATTCTCTTATTATCCCAAAAATCATTCTTTATTACTTGTTTTCACGAATCCTGAGCACCCTGATAATAAAACAAAACCGGTAAAGGGCAAAACTTACAGCACCCTCATTGCCAATCATTTTCTTGTACCGCTCCATCACATCCGCATAGATTTCGGTTACATCTACACACAGTTCTTTTGGTGGAGGCGTTTCTACTACCTCTCGATCGTCCCTTGCAGACCAGCCATCGCCGAACACGCTTGGCCCCATCTACAATAATGATAATCCCATGTTAACACAATAAACAATAAATATAAATAATAAATACTACTATTTATCAAAAGATGAATTACGCCTATCTCCTGATAACAGACAAAAATGACTGGCTTAATTGCTGGCCTGATCTTTTACAATAGGAAGTTTGTAAAGTTAATATACAAATATAGCGTTAATATACAAATACATATATATATATATATTTGTATATTATATATATTTGTATATTAACGTTATATATATATGTGTGTATATATATATAGGTGCATGTATACATATATATATATATATATATATGTATATATATACATATATA